CGTTTCCAGTGGAGCGTGAAAACTCAATGGGGTGTGAATGTTTCGAATTGGAGTATGATGGAAGAAGTTCAGTCCAAGAGTTCACTTTCATTTTTTTCTCACTTCAAACGTCTTACTGAAACCGGCTGCCTGTTCGGCATGTCCAAGCATCTTCATCCTGTTCTGGAAAATTTCGAGTCAGATTTCTTCTCCACAAGCTAAAATGGTGAGGCGCTCATAGGCTTAGAGGAGACAGTTTGCAGCAGGGCACATTGTTGTTGGGGATTTCCAGCGGGGGGGGGGCGCTATTTATATTTTTTATTTCACTATCGTACGGACTCGATCAAAATCCCCAACCAATGATGTGCCCTGCTTCGCAGTTCGCTAGTTCCTTTTACTATTTAATAATAGGGGTCCGGCCTTATGAAGGTTGCCTGTACACTTTGCTGAGTGCCAGCTGATGTCCCCACCAAGCCGAACTGTGCCAGTGTTGCCATTCCGTAAAACAAATGGTAATTATTACCGTTGAGCTTGGATGAGAATCTGCAATTTGGCGACGAAATTGCTCCGAAGGGTAGTTCCACCCTCTAAACACGAATAGGAAATCCCTTTTGACGCTAAGCGCTTATCGTCTGCCCCAAGGAGGAAAACATAGTTTGTGGACCTATTTTCCGGGGGTAGTTCTGTCCCTAGAAACGACAAAAGGGAGTACATTAGGTGCCGGCCCCGATTACTTTCTTGGGTCGCTCTTGCAGCGCAAACGCCATCCTGAAACCGGGCCAAAACCCAAAAATCCCGCCTCTTGAATGCTCTTACACGTATGTCATACGATATCGCCAATTTGCACCGGCGAACGGCGGCGGAGGAGGGGGGGGAGTGGTCGAGGACTGGAAATTCCTAGGGTGGTCGAGGGATGGAATTCTAGCCGAGTTGATGTCCAGGGCAGACGTCCTTCAGGAGTCCAGCCCAAGTCCAAGAGCGGGAAGTAAAGGGCTATGAGAGCCACATTATACGGTGGAGTGAGGTAGCCCATCGGGTACGGATCCGTGCACTTTTGTCGAAAATTCGAACCAGAGCCCGAAAGAGGAAGGGGGAGGTAACAAGCATTGAGAACATTTTCCGATCCTTTGTTGATTTTGCCCATTTTAAGCGCGCTATTCCCCCGCTAGGTGGGGCGCGGAAAGCCTGCCATTTCTGGTATTTATCGGAGGTACTCACCTGTCCGCTTGGAAAAACTGGGTAAAATGGTACATATGTTGTGAGTATGAGTCAGACGAAAGAAAAGAAGGGGGGGGGCGTGTTTGGCAAAAACTTACGCAACGCGATGAGGTGGCTTGATCCGAATTCATCCTCTACAACTGAGAGCCGTGTTTTCATATCCCTCGTAAAAGACTCATATGAGAAGGTAGATGGATTGAATAGAACATCGGTCGCACATGGAGCTCAATGGGCTGCTATTAATCCGAATACCCAGCGCTTCAGATGTAAGAACACCAATCAAGGAAGCAGTTCAGCGTTGGCTATGTTACCCCTTCTGTGGTATTAACTTTGGCGCAGTTTCGGGTTGGTGGGGGCACCGAGTGGTGCTCAGCTAAGTTTCCACACGCGTTTTCAACCTGTAATTCACCTGAAATTTCGTGCGACCTAAGTGGCTCACTCGCACCAGTTTGCAGCTTTATGGGGTTTACAGTTTCAGGTTTCTCTAGAATGGATCTGTTAGTTGAGAAGAACGAAAAAGGAACCAACGAAAGCGCAAAATGCTCCCTCCTAGTCGAACAGTGCTTCCAAGAAAGTGAGCAGGGCATTCTAATGTTTAGTTTTCTTGATAGAACTCTTGACTGCTCTTTCTATTTCATAATGCAATGTACCCTAGGACCAGCTAGATGTTTAGCCGTTCGGAACTCATTCGTTAACCGAACGGTGCCAATTATCAGCTTAGCGGCCATAGTGACCGCCGTGGGTCACCATCACCTACGCATTGGCAGACGGAAGTGCCTGGAAATCAATCCCGTGATAGCGGTTCTCAGTGAGTTTGATGTTTCATTGTTCTCTGTTTTTCCAAAATGTTTTCCGTTTCTTTAACTGGCGTTACTCTTCTGGCTTCATGCCAATGAGATGAGAAGCGAGCAGAAATCCAGTAGCTCACTCGATCCACAAGATGTATGCATAAATCTGAACCACTACTTATTCATTAATCTAATCATCAAATGAAAAGGCTAAGTTCGGTTTGGGAGGGGGCGGCATTTTCCACTCCCGCTGATTCCCTTTGTCATATTTATTCCGTTTACAAGAGTTGACAAGTGGTTTCTAGAAACTTTGACTGGTGTAACGCTGTGACCTCACAAAACTTCAGAAATCTCTGTTTTATGGCTCGGCAAGACGAACAGCGAAAGTGCTAAATGCCACATCCTCACCCGTAGCTCAAACTGTGCAACACAATTTCTTTGATTTTGCTATTAAGTACTATCACTTATATAATTTTGTCTGGAGACTTTTTCTGGAACGTTCTTGGAAAAGTGAGATCGTTCGCAGGGGATGATGTTGCGCATTAGTAGGGACAAGTATGATAATTCATAATCAGTGCTGAAAAGCTGCATGATAATTGATATTATAAACAGATATTTGATCGAATCATGGCATAATCATGAGTTTGGCCGCTAAATTTTGCCCCGGCTTCGACGCTTTTGTTCATGTAATGTTTTTTTCTTCTCCCTATGCGATAGCAGGCAATTGTTGACAGGAAGCGCTGTTTAGGTTGGAAGGGGCATTTTGTACTTTCACCTGTTCCTTTTGCTACTTTTGCTAGTCTATGTTAACTAAGAGATATCATTTAGTGGAGGCGTGTACTCTTTTGAAGTTGCAAATGAGCCATTATGCTTACAGGAAACCACAGGTCTTCACAAGATGACCTGTACAGACTGAATATCACTTCACTCGGGGCCCCCACCAAGCCGAACTGTGCCCGGAAAGAATTATAGGACAACCTAACATTTGAAGTGCCATCATTTGACAGGAACCCACTTTCAGGGAGGCTGCAACTTTGAAGAAGATGGCCATAATCTGGCTCATGGTGGCCCAGTTTTCTGTGGCAACTAGCCAGCAGACCTATAGCGAGATGTCCACTATCGACTTGTTCGGAAATCGGAACCCAATCTTCAACTACATGCCAAATCCTGGCCATGTTGATCCGTCACTTCTGGATCAACGTGAGAAATACACGGATCTGCGAGAGGAAGAAGGTACGCTTTTGGAAACTTCTACGGCAGAGCTTTCGCTGTGGATGGTGAAGCTTGAAGAGTTTCTCAGAAATGCAGTACCATTAGGTTGTTTTGCCTTTTTTAGGTTGGTGGCACTTATTTCCATATGGTCCCCTCTACAACGATGCGAACCTTCTGAATAAGCCGCATCATGATCGTCAGATCGATTTTGACTTCGATTTTCCTTTCTATGGATTCCGATTCAATTACACAATGGTCAGTATGCTTTCCACATATTGATCAACAATTTTCCTTGAGAAAATTTCAGCGTCCGTTTAGAGAGGCAGTCCTTGTTGAGCATAGAGGTGGAGACATGGGCGGAGTCACGCAAATTGCTCCCTACTCACAGGTGTACTTTCCTCTTCTGATGAGGCAAAGAAGGGGGCACGCAAGTGAGGATGGAGAACTGTTCTTTATCGCCTCATACGACCAGCGTGGACAGCAGTGCCTTCAATTTTCACTTTGGTGTTGCGCCGTGCATTACGCAGTTATGGAAAATTTGTGACCATGTTCGAAAGCGCACAATTCTCTTACAGTTTATTCGTTTTTTATACATTTCTGTATTCGTGTAGGTTATTTTCTCGCTCAAAGAGCGGCTTCATTTTGTCAGCCCAACAGAATACGATACTGTAGACAGCCTAGGAGAGATACTTACCGGTGGAACCGACCGTTAGATGCCAATAGTGCCTTCTTCATTGAACTAGGTTCCTTAGAAGATCTCATTATATCTATGATTTGTAATGAGCTCTATTTACAGATCTATCCAAACGGTCTTTTGGCATTCTCTGATCCGGAGTTCATCCAGCCACCATATACGTTCCCGAATCCTCGATGGCCAGAGCAGAAGGTTCGTGTAACTTTCAGTTGTAGTGCGAGCTCTGTCCTGAACATAGCGCGGTGTAGTTTGGGGAATCCTCAAGAAGAGCGTTCGATTTAGTGCCTGACAAACAGCGATCTCTTATTATGCGAACAAAATCTGGAAATAGTAGGGGTTTTCATATAGCATCCCACCCTGGCGCACGATTTTGTTTTCAGAGAATTGAAATTCTTAGGGAACTGAAACGTGGTGGAGGCGTAAGGGGCTAGGATGGGCTCGTATCAAAGGCAGCGGAGGAGGCTAACATCCAAGAGCTAAAGATTAAGGCCTGAGATTGACCTATTTTCAAGGTTGTAAGGCATTTAAAGTAAAATGCTTATTTGTTTTGCCTAAATCAACCAGGAACTAACAGAACGAAGAGAAGCAAAACAAAAGTATGTAATTCCAAGGACGCATCGTCACGCCAGTCTCCTAGCCCGATCAACTTTTTTTCAGTTTGTTGTGAACGTGAATATACTACAGTGTGGTATACGTGAGTACGCGCAACACAGGTGCACTGATCGCAGTCTATTTATTATCATTTTATTATTTGCCCTATCTATGAATTCCATATGGAGAGCTGGAAAGGCGCGACGCGCTATAGACAAACGTCATGGAAACGATATGTGACAGAACTGATTGAAAAAGAAAATGAATAGAGTAATAGTTTCAACAAAAAAATTCCAATTTCAAAAGTCACAAAAACCCACTCAACAATGATATGACGAATTTGCGGAGATGCCACCTCACCTAGCTGATTATTAGGTTGTTTGGAAGCGATTATGGAAACCATCCTGCTGCAGTTCGCCTAATAAGTCCAGCCTAGGGGTGCAAGGTGGCAAAAGGGCATGGGGAGAGGACTGAACCACCCGTCACTTGTTGTTGTGCCACTACTTCAACCACCGTCTGATTCAGACTACAATATCTAACGCCTTGTAAGGGCGCAAGATAGCGAAAATGATTGGTCATATTGCCGCTCCCGACGCTTCGAAGCTAATTAGGCGCGATGGATAATATTTCAAAAGCGTGTTAAGGCATCCTTGGGTCCGGAGCATCATTGATATACCATTTATCACTCATTAAATTGACACTTTTCAAAAATCAAATCGGAACCCCCTCCATGGCAGGTTGCTATATAAACCAACTAAGTACTTCGCAGCAAGCCACTCGCCGGCTCAACCCGCCGCCCACCTTTCGCACGCGTCAGCGTTTTCCAAAATCTATAAGTCTGTTTCTTCGAACTTTTCTCGACACTTACCAGTTGTAGCACTCACTTGAACGAAGAGATTGGTACGCCTCGATACAGATACTGCCTCGACGCCTTCAACAAACATTCAACCTTCACAAAAGGTGTGGGGGGAGTGGCGGGGGGGGGGGGGGGAAGGGGGAAAAACAAAAAAAAAAAGGGGGGAGAATATAGTCATGCTTTACACACCTAGCACCACCAGAGCCCCGCCCCATGGACAACGCCTCTATTTGTTTTCGCCGAAATTTTTTTATATTTTTTTTATTTTTTTTAATTTGACTTTTCTTGCGGCGACATTTTCACTTTATTAGCTGAGGCGCCCTGCCACATAAGAAGCTTGCCGCCCACTTATGTAGAATTCCCGGCCGCATTTCCAAAAATGATGCAGATCGTACGATTAGGGACGCCGTACTATCAGTTTTATCAAGGACGCGAGCTCCCCTTAGCAGGCGGGGCCGCATCAGCCCAATACCGTAATAAACGGAAAAGAAAATATAATTACCTCAAAAAACAAAAGTGACTGTCAATAGGGGGCAGAGGCCAGTACTAGGTGTAAAAGCATGGCTATATTCGTTGTGAAGATTGAATGTGAAAAAACCGACGTCGAAAGAAGTTATAAAAATTCAGAACTTACGTCACTTGATTGTGAAGTGGGCGGAGTCAGATCTGTATCGGTACCAATCCTTTTCAGTTGAAGTGTGTGTGCAACTAGCAAAAGTGAGAAAAAGTCGAAGAAGCAGATTTCATAAAACATTTTGGAAAACCGTGACCGCGCTGGAAAGGTGGGCGGGGTGTTGGGGCGGGGCTTGCAGCAGTACCTAGTGTGGTCTAGTTATCAACTGCCCTTGGTAGGGGGTGTGTCCGATTTGGTTTGAAAAGTGTCCGATTTGGTTTGAAAAGTGTCCGATTTGGTTTGAAAAGTGTCCGATTTGGTTTGAAAAGTGTCCGATTTAAAGTGAAAATGGTATATGAAACTTCACAATTGATACACCGTAACTTTCTTCTGACTTTTTCGTTGCTTGTGTTTCATGCCGTTCAGCTGGTTTGCAATAGTAGTCGACCTAGACGATCGATAATTGATTGAAATCGACCAATCAATTCCTTCCAGGATCATATTCCGCCCACGAGCGTTTGAAACATTCGACGAATGGGGCAGTCCATTGATGAGCCCTCGTGACGAGCAGAGCTCAATGTTCCACACGGCCAGGGATCGTTACGAGAAGAAGGTATGGACTTATTCACACTATTCTTTGGATAGTAGCGGAGAGCACTGACAAGACGATTGCACCAAAAAAAAACTTTTCAGACATGGGGTCGTGTCGAGGACACCTATCTTCTAGATAACATTACAATGGCGATTCGAGAAGGAATCATTGGTGCCAACGGATTTCGAGCCGATTATGCTGTCATCGTCACCTGGGAACGAATGGCATACGGTGGTGCACCAAAGGTCACACAGGTAAGGGAACTGGCGCAAGATTCACCATTTTGCACCAATGTAAAAGGTGTGTTGAAGACAAACTGTGCACGCACTCTCGTGAATCCTTGCCCTTGCCGTGTGTGAGGTGAGTGGGTCCGCAGCTGCAGTAGCGCGCCTTGTTCTCCGGTCAAAAGTGCACACGAACGGGGCTGGAAAGTAGTAGTACAATCTTCCGACCCCACTTTCACTGCCGCATGGCCAGCCGCACTTCTAACCATAGTCCGATGCGCTACTTGTCTGTCCTTTCACTTCTGGGTGTTCTCTATCACTGAGTGCAAGTTTCGCTGTGAGATCTTGGTACTGACGCAAGTGGTGCATCTTGAGGATAGCGCGAGCAGAGTATGACAATGGCACCAGGGTATCATTACGCTCAAGCCCTCGTTACCGCGCTCTTTTGGGCATGGAAAGTGCCACGCTTCTGCAGCTGCCTGACCATACATCTCGCACATGGAAATAACTGTTCTCGGGCGGGGGGGGAGGAGTGTATCTACACGCCTCGCAACCTCTACGTTCTGAAAATGTTGCTCTCAAGCGACAAGACATCCGATGGTCACCGTTCTGCTGTGTAGCTATTCCTCCCGCCATAGCCCCCCTCCCGCTCCCTCGCAACTCACCCAACATCCTCATAAACCCCAACACGGCTGTAAGGCTTCTGGCAGTTCCCAAACATGCCCAACTTTTTGAACAACACTCTCAAGCTTTGGAATTCCCGACATTCTCGTCATTATCCTCGTATTCCCCTTTCTATCCTACACTCGGCTTTAAAGGTGGAATTAGGTACGCCAAGAAGCAAAAACGATGGGACGAATCATATCAAGTTGATATTGGCGACCTGATTGAGCCCTTCCCGACAGGTACGAGGTTTATAAGCCACGCGACACTCTTCTCTAACGACACCGAGGAAGTTTAAGAGGCCACACTCGCGCGCAATGGATATGTGGTAAGAAATGGGCGAGTCATTACATCATATCCTGGCCTACCCGAACTCGCAACCTGTCTCCTCTGAATGGCTAGTAGACGGAAATGCGTGGCCACTAACAGGTGAGATGAAGTGAATGACGCTCCTAAACTTATTATACCGCGGAGTGTATATTCTAGTTCCATATCACTGTCCATAGTTGTCTTCCTTAAAAACAAGCTCTCACACTCTTTATGGTAGAGTAGGAAGGTTGTAAAAGGCGGTTTGAGGACATAGATGCTTAAATAGCGAAGCCAAGTATGTGGCGAACGCCTGCTGCGCCGCACTCGATTGGTATCACTTGTCTTGAAATAGCACAGCGTCCCCAAGACCCCAAACTCGAGTATACGGAACTCCGCTTTTGGAGTTCCAGCCTTCTCGTTCCTGCGCCCGTGCACTCATCCAAATAGTATTCTTGGCTAATGAGATTCTTTACTCGATAATTTTATTACAGCTATGTTAATGTTTTACTATGCCCATACAACTCAGGACATCAACAAATTGCTACCGCTGACGCTCTTCGAGGGACGGGGGTGGCTTGTGGCATGAGCCGCAAGTGGTCAAGCGAATACAACCCTTTTCTTTGAAATCAAAGTGCCTTGTCTAATTACGTGGGCGGAGATTCCATGCCATCGCGCTTTTCCATTTGCCGCGTATTTCTCTTCTTTGCCGTATGGAGGCAGGGACGCGTGAACCTGTAAGAGCTAATAGTTAGGTAGCTTCGACCATGTCTCCGCCCATACGGCCAACGTGTACTGTCTCTTAGAACGAAGGTCGACTACTGAAGAAAACAACTGAAAGTGAAAAGACACCTCCAACTAATAGCGCGGAATGACATGGTAAATGAGACCATCTTCTCATGAGGTAGCTAGGTTGGTCACCCGTTCACATTCGTCGCTCCCAAAAGTATTTTTGGCCACGCCCACAAGCGTTAGCGTGAACAATTTTCTCAGACAGTCACCGCATCTGGTATGGTGTTGGATCCAGCAGGCTCTTCTAGACGCAGTTTTATCCAGCTTGAGATCTCCCCATCGTCATAAGCCGCACCGCAACCGCATGCATCTGGGCCCTGTCAAACATGTATATCTGGTTTGATGGGCAATTCTCAATCGGTTTCAGGCAGGTTTTAATGGCGGAAATGGTACAGGCTGGACAACCGCTGCCATATTCGGTGAAGGTCGTGTCGATCACTAAGAGTATGCTCGTCGTGTTGAACTTTGAGCAGCGGGCAGCCGGCATATAGTCTCACAACTGGATTTCGGTGAAATGTCTTGTTCCAAATGGTAGTGGGCCGTTTATTGATACACTGGTTGCTTCTGTGAGGCGTCGCGTATGCGGCCATTCTCATGCATTTTGCAGCGAAATTGAGGCTACATATTCTTGCAGTAAAAATATATGAAATATTTTGGTCATATCAAACATGGCGCTTATAAGATGCGCGAGAACGCCGCAACCAGCCGCCACGCGACGCACAGCCGGTCTGTGCGCACCAAACGCACTGCAAGAAGCTGATGCAATTAGTGTCAAAAGATGTTTGATAATCCTTTCGAGATATCCATCCAGCCGTTCGTTGATTCAGAGTTCTCCAACGTGGGAGTCCCTGGCAGATGGCTGTTTCGTGTTGATGAGGAGATCATTCGGGGTGGATGCAGTAATGAGAGCATAGGTGTTTGTCGGATCTCACAAAACTACAATGGTAAAGGTGAATGAGCTCTTAGTAACCTAAATAGTCAGTGTTAAGGCTATTTGACCACGGCTCCGATCGCTGCGACAATGATCGGTGGAGTGTACGTGAATGTTTCTGGTCCGTGCCTCCGTGGTGGCGATGTTGTCAAAAGTGATCTTTTGATGATACGCGAGGTTCGATTGGCTCAGGGTTAGTCGTATGTATTACCTATTTTTATTAATGCCTCCCAATAGGGGTAATTGAAGACGCCTTCCATTATAAGCGGGTGGGCGGGAAACTCGTACGTGAAGGCCGGACTTTCCTGAGAGCGCTACCTTTCTAATACATGAAACGGTGTCGACGGAAACCAGTGCCTAGTGAGGAAGGAATAACAGCTATGACTTTCCGCCCAGCTCTTCGCCCATCCGCGGAATGTGCTTTAAGTCCACGAGTAATTCATGCGTCAGTTATCATTTCAGTTAAACATGCATCGAGCTCAATGTGTTCTACCTGTGAATCGAATGTACAAAACTGGTCTCGTCAATGTGAAAATGAGTCGTGACGGGTGGTCAGAGTTTATCCCTACGCTTGGACGTTCTATCTTGTATAGTTTATCTCACATCTTTGTTTGAGGTGCACAAGCCAGGAATGAGTAGCTTGAGGCAGTGGGCGGACTTGCTTCTAGATGGGCGGGTCTTCGACGAAGAGAGCGAGAGTGTGCGCCTTGTCGAACGCTGTGTTTTGCGAAGATGTTTTCGATTGATTAGCATGGGAGGAAAGTGGTTTTGTTGATAGTAAAACTTGTAAAAGGTAGAGGAAACAAATAGGGCACACTCTTGTAAAGGCGGGGCCGATGTAATGAGAAACTTGCTAGCCACGTCGTTTTCAATTTCAGTAGCAACAGCTCTTGCACACCTGCTGTCAACTAATAAGATATCGCGCGTAGAGGTCCACAACAATTGGCGTAGTGCCAACGCAACGCGGCTTCGATTGGAATGGGCACCTTACAATTTGACGAACGATGTGAACGCTATGATTAACATCAAACTGTTGGGATACTGGGAAGATACCGATGACCATGTGTTTGAAGAGTAACAACTGGTACTGAAACATGCAATATTGATGTCCTTTATTCATGACATTTCGGTGTTGATGAGTTTTTTGTCTTGCTGGTTGGTGGCGCTTTTTAGTGCACTTGTTCCATATGGCATTAAATAATGGTTTTAATTACTTATTCAGTGAGAACTATGAATAAGCGAAATTTCTTCTGTTTGAGGCACAGACGGCGGTAAGGGGCGGAGACTCAGCAGCCCGCAGCATTTTCTCAGCGCGCATCCTTTCTTTTACTGCACTCGACCGGGCACTCATCTGCGGGCACAGGCGGATTGGATCTATTCGCCTCCCTTCGCTTTATCAACGGAATGTGTCCTTTGAATTTATAGAGGTGACTTTCCCGTAAGGCGGGGGGGGGTATAAACTCTTCAGCCTTGCTCTTCTGTTGAACAATTTTGTCTAACGTCTCACACTAAATTTCCAGTAGACTGACGACTGGGTACATAGCACCTGGGACAGATGTGTCGGACGCGGCCGTAATGAAAATCAGACAGAATTTTTCGTTGGAACTGCATATGCCTTCCCCCGCATACTATTCCCACGACGAATAGTTGTTCACTGGCTTCACACTAGGCTTGCGCCTGATTACTCATTTTTCTATCTTTGCTGGGGCATGCCCTGTCCATCTGATCACTCACTTGGCTCCTGTTTAATCGACGAATGAGTTACACTTTTGTTCGCTGCGACTAGTGGGGTGCGTAAGGACAGGGGAGGTCGGGTATTCGGGGGGTGAAGGGGGGGTGTAGGGGGGAGAGGATCGGTTGTGAAAGGCTTGACACAGCGTCAAAGCTTCTCCCTCTCCTACTGTGAAATGGCAAGCGACCACAACTAGTGGAAAACGGGCTGGCACCCCGCCAGACACATCCACCCTGACATGCTCCAGCATTCGCAAACAAGGCTGTAACTTTATCGCCGTTGTGACAGGACTGAAGGCCTTTCTTTCTATTATTTCAGATAGGCACTATCGCAGAACGCACATCAAACGACGGCTCATATGAGTTCGATCCGAGGACACTGGCTAGGACGTCAATGCTATTTGACTCGTGGAGACGTTACTCGTTTGGAGCTGTGAGAATTTCCATATCGGATACCGATGAGAGTACAGGGTCAGTTAGATTCTGTCCCCAATTTTCAATTTTCTCGACTACGGAAAAAAGGAGTTTCCTGTCCATTTTGCTACAAACCCTGAGCTGATTGATGTGTTACCCCCACGCTGTGCACTTGAGATTGGTGACTAGGAAGAGTGAACTAAATGCGCCTCTTTGAAGGCATATTCCGCGCTGAAGGCGTAGGCGGAACACTTGAACAAATGCGCCCGTATCACTGATGCGGTTCTCCCTCTCAGAAGATGGAGAGGAGGAGCATTAGTGGGAAAACGCAACAGTCCACAAACTCCCTTTACGTAATCGGCGTAGAGTGTGCCCTTAAGTATAGCCAGGGGATTCCCTAACAGGCGGTCGTACGTGGTCGCTAGTGGGAAGAGGGTCGTATTTGGTCGGGGAAAATTTTTTTCCGATAGTTGATTCTTCTTACTTCAAAAGCTATAAAGGGGGGGGGGATCGTAATTGCTCGTTGCTGGAGAGGGAAGGGTCGTATCTTACTGCTGGCTTTCTGAGAGCTCGTTGATTTTTTGCGGGCTCTCCTGTTTCATACTTGCTATACGCCCCCACCCCCTCCGGCCCGCCCTCCGCGCTCGACAGCAACGACAGCAAAATTTTTGGGAAAAAGTGGGAAAATTTACGGGAAACTGCGGGAAAAGAGGTAGAAAGTTGGGAAAATCGAAGAGAGTGGTAGTAAGGTGGAAGGGGCGAAGGGGAGAGGGGCGTACCTACCCACCAAAAAAAGAAGGAGGGAGTCTTATGGAGTTGACCAAAATATCCAACTGATGATGTGCCCTGAGTAAAGCCACAGGTTTATTTAGAAGGGCTTGTCGATGTTGCTACATTCGTTCTGAATTTCCATCTTGAGTTCCACTTTTCTCACCCTTGAGAGAATTTGGGATGTCTGAAGTGTGGCGTAAGGTGGGCGGAGACTACAACAACAGGGTGGGCGTGTTCCTCGACGCTGGTCACAGTGTTATTAACGCGTGATCCCAGAGCAGATAACTATCTGTGCTCTGTCAACAGTCTCGTACGCTGCTGCTGCTTCCTGCCGCAGGATTCTTTTTTTCCGGTACGACGCCCCCACTTTTCACCCTACCTATCAAATCTCCCCTATTTTTACCAACTTCCTACCACTTTTCCTCAGATTTCCCAGAAAAATTCCCATTTTTTCCCAGAATAAAATTAGAAAAATACTTTTCAAAACAGATACGGCGGCCCCATTGACATACGACCCCACTCTTCCCAACGACCAAGTACGGCTCGCTATTGGGAATCTCTCCGACAACGCTGTATCCTATCTCAACCATGACAGCTATCGAGGCCGTTGAACGTCTTGAGAGTGCACAAACGGAACTTTCTTTTATCCATTGCTATGTTCTCATAGGATCGTTGAAACGGAATTTTTTTGTTTTCCAGTTTTTCATCTTCTTGTTTCCTTAGGAGCGCTGTCTGTGATTTGGAACAATTTTTTTAAGGGTATTTTGGAGCAAACTAACGCCATTCGGCCTGGTATTTTCGTGATCGCCCACTAACTGGGAATACGAATACGGCCGAGATTGGGCTTTAGAGCTATGTCAGGTGAGTAAATGTCTTGGTTGCTTTTTTTGGTTGTCAGTGAAAACTATGGCGCTGTTAAGCTCCTGGAGAGGGGGGAATTTCGCAACTCATCGGCCTCAAAAGTCCCACCGGAGAACGTTGCCTCAAGTTTTTGCAGGCATGCCGCACAACAATTTTTTTTCACCGTCCTAGCAACAACGCGGAAGTCCGTGTGAAAGGACAAGGTAATGTACACAGCGGTTCCAGCTGAGAATTTCAGGACTGGTTTGACTACGACGGAAAGCGCGTGAATTTTGCCATGGATCTGGAACCGTTCCTTCCATGCCCATGCACACTCGATCAGGCGTTTCTTGACATCGGTATTTTCTCGAGTTATCGATTTTCATGTTCTATGGTACTGGCCTGTAGCGAAGGGCATTTTCCACATTAACATTTTCGACAGTTTTCCATTATGTCTTGTTCGCTGGATGATGGGGCTTGTAAAGGCGGTTCTAGCGCCGCGCTAGCCCATTTTTTTCTTTTTCTTTGGCGAAGGCAAAAAAACTGTGTTCCTATCTTCCGCTATGCGTTCTTTTTCTTTCTGCTCGCTGTTCACTTTAAAACCAACTAGTGGAGAAGCGGGCTGGCGGCGTGCCCAAATCTAACCTCAGTGATACCCCTCGTTATCTCAGCGGACAACACTGTATTGCTTCGAGATTCAAAGGGAGAATGTTTGCATCAGCGGCTAAAACAGCTTATTTTACGCAGATCCTGAGACTAACCGTACGCTACACTATTTCCAAGTGATTTCATGTATTTTTCTCTTCTAGGACGGTATATGCCGCTGTTCGGATGTGATGTTGACGGTGATGCATCGTGTGAATACAACAAAGGAGCTCAACATTGCGTTATGAGTGTTGCATCCACGTGAGTACAATATTCGAAGAGCGCATTCATACTTCGTCGAGATCGTTTCGCTCGACGATTAGATGCGCCCGACCAATGAACTGCTGGGCTGTTTAGACGGCGCCGCCAATTTTGCAATTTCTACCGCTGACGGGTAGCTCAGTGATTGGCGGTGGAACGCTTCGGGTCGGTCTGGGCGCGCGACATCCAGCGATGGTAGTTTGCGTAAGAATTGAATGCGCCCTAACTGAAGCTCAAAACTGCTATGTGCTTTTCCTAGGAAGCTCCCACCCCCCCCGCACCACCCTTCCAGCATGTGAGTCACATCATGTCCACTCGTCTATACCCTCTCACCTATGCAGTATTATGTGGCTGTCGCATGAGATCGTGACCGGCAGCGCCTCGCTGGAGCATGCTCCCCCCCCAAGGTGCTTAAAAGAAAGGACACGTTTAGCTCTGAACGTCCAGCGATACAATGCGCTCACTATGACACGCTGCTTGTGGGAATGGCGCTTAAGAGGAGCTCGCGCGAGGAGCTCCGCAAGTCCCAGTTACGCTGTGCCCAACGCTCAGCATACCCCGGCTTTTGAGTTACTGAACACTAACTCATTGAAGGTGCCAAATAGGCAAAACACATTTTTGGGGGTCACAACGAGCCGTTCACCGGGCTAAACATAGCGCGAGGAAAAAAAAGCGTCCTCATAAAGCAGCGTTCAGACTTGGCGATGACGTGCTTTGTCGCGCTGTGATGCGCGTCGTCACGCTACCATGTAGTGTGTCTCCAAAGCCGTAAACTACAACCCAGTCGCATACAGGTATCGATCGACGCCGGCCGCTTGTGCTTTGAGAGAATGTGGAGTATCAGAAGCGTAGGCGCTGTGTTTACACAGTCTGTTACCTACGCCTCGACGCGCGTCATCGCGAACTCTAATCGCTGCTCAAAGCAGTTTTCATAGCTCGCAACACCGCAAACTCTTTCTCGCCTCGATAATCACAGAATCGCAAAATCGATCGTTGTAGGTGGACCGGAGCTGGACAGGTATGCTGTTATGACTTTGAAGGTTGGCTGATGCACTCCGATGACTACGAGAATGCAGCACATCTGAGATTCTTCAGCCCAGGAACTGCCATGAGGTACGTCAGAATTGTTTATAGGTGCAAATCGTGAGGAGGAGAGGATTGGGCATCCCGGAACAGCGTACAGGAGGCTGGCTGCTTGAGGCGGTCTGGATCCGGCAGAACGCCTCCGATGGCAAACCGCCTGGAAGTCGCAGCGGAACTCTCCGCCCACACCTGAGAACAATCGAGCCCTAACAGCGAGATTTTACTTCAAGGGCACACTGCGAAATAACCGCATGGGCAGAAAAATTGACAGAGACTCATAACCACGAAATTTTGTTCTTGCCCATGAAATCAACAAAAAGTGGACTGACAAGCTGGTCAGGAAGGCAAGTCGGTTATGAGTCACTGGTCGTTATCGCGGAGTGTGCCTTTGCAGAAGGCCCTGGAGATTCACAAGTTCATTTTACTGTCCCATTTTCTCAAGCGCCATTCCAGAGCA